AGAAGTGAAAGTGATAGAGACGTTTTTGAAAATGAATTATGCCGTTTCTGAACAGGATTAACATCCTCCGCTCTGCCCCGGGGCAGCTGTGGCCGCGTTGTAGTGGTTTAACTATGAAATGTACAATCGCGAACGCACTTCTGAACTGGGTACCGAGCGCAGACCATAGTCGAGTGGACAGAACCACAGACATGCGGACCGGACAGAACCATAGACATGCGGACCGGACAGAACCATGGACTCGCGTTCAGGACCTCCCGTGTCCCTCATCCAAAACTCCTGAATTTAAAGCTCGGATACCTAAATTTTTCCCATGCACTAACAATGCATGTTCTTTGTGTGAGTTATTATTTGACTATTTGGGCAGAGAGTGGATTTTCTTAGTTTTTTTCCACACAGTTAGTGCCACTTTATTACCAAACTCTTGTTAATTGTATCGAGAAATGTTAAATAAAGCTTAATGTCAAGGCCTGGACTTAAGCATTTTGATGAGAATAACTGTATATTGTGAATATAGGCTACAGAGTATACTGTATACATTATAAGATCCATCCATCCATCCATTTTCTACCCTTTAATCCATTTCTGGGTCAGGGGGGTGGCAGTCAGAGATGCCACCCAAGTCTCATAGCACCAGCCCCTCACTGACCCTCTGCAGGTGGTGAGTCCACAGGAGGACGGCTGCTCTCTGAGTGTGAGCATAGCCTTGATCTTTCAAGATCAAGGCTATGCTCAAGACATTATATGCTCAAGACATTATAAGATAAGATAAGATATACTTTATATATCACACAGAGTATGTACAGTATATATTTTTACATTAGTACTGTATACATTTTTACATTTTCTCCTGGAGGTGTGCCGCAAGATTTTTTCAGTGAAAAAAGTGTGCCTTGGCTCAAAAAAGGTTGAAAAACACTGGTTTAACCTTTCATTAGAAATACAAACAACAAAGCATAGTTTGCATAAGAAAGATAATTGACTAAATGAAATCTTTGAAAAAAATATGAAAGAAGAAAAGGAAGTGATGCATTTAGAAAACAAGATTTGTCCATAGATTTTGTGTTTTTCTTGACATGCTCCAGTGATTGGTCCCATGCCCTTGTCGTGCGGCCAGAAAAGCCTCCTCCATCACCATCAGTTAGTTTGGTTGTGGCCTGTCCCTCGACTGGTCCTTTGTCCTCTGCATACACACACCACTCCCATTGACCTTCACAAACTCCATCTGATAACGTGCAGACAGTGACAGGTTTCCTGCGCGTACACTCAGCCACTTATTCTGTTAGCCATGAACAATAAAATGCCATGCGCCTTCTCTCTCTGGTCATCCCCGAAAGCCCTACATTTATCTGATTTTTGTAATGGCCTCTAAAATGATCAGCTCGATTTAATGCTACAATTATGTCTAAATATGAGGACCTTTCCAAAAAGGCACAGGCATTGTGGTTGATTTGTTAATGTAGAATATATTTTATATAATACAAAATAGAATTATGTTTCATTCAGGTTTAAGGAATGAGGTGTGAAGGTTGTTAGGAAATAGTCCCTTTCTTTTACTAATTCCATAGCTCTAACCCAGGTCAGTTGTTATTGATAGACAAATATTGTAAGATCGTATTATCAATTTGTAACATTATACAGTAAATATCATTGTGCCGCATAGCAGTGCAGAGAATATGTTGCACTAGGACAGAGTAGGGGCCTCATTAATCCATTTCTGGGTTCGGGGGCAGCAGTCAAAGCAGAGAGGATTCCGATTTATGTTTTAAATGATAATAAAGCATAGGTGTAAAGCCCCACGGTGGCACCTGGTGTTCCCAGAGGTCTCCCATCACAGCACAAACCTGGCATTGCCCTACACAGATTCAGAGGTCTGACAGGATCTGGCTTTTGCATGCAAGTACAGCCACATGAATTAAGAGATCAGTAGTTGTTGTTCATACTGTACATCACAAAAGATAAGTGGAGAAAATGGTGAAGACAAATTATATCCTGCACACCCAGTCCAAAACATGCCACGAATCACTAAATAGTCGTCCTCAATGACCTTCTAAAAAAATCACCTGTATCCCCAAAGAAACACCTACCAAAAGACTTTTGACTTTCCTGTGTGTCAAATGGACAGATGTAGCGCTCATAAACCTTACAGCAGGACAACTGTTCCTCAAAGTCTGCAAATGAAACAGCTGACTATAAAATTTCACATTCTGTCCGTCGCGGCCGATGACTTATCACATAAATGGCCGACACTGCTCTTGATCAGTTTACAGTTTACAGGGACGAGTAATGCCCTCTTTGTGACAGCTGAGGATGGATGACTTTATGCTTTATGGCTCTGTACAGATGGCGGCTGCTGGCTGCCATAGTCGCCACCAAACACACGCTTTCATTTGTCTGTTGGCGTTCTCAACAACAGCTATGCATTATTTTTATTTGTTTGAAAAAAAGATTCTGGGTCAGCAAATAATGTGTGACAGACAAAGTGTCTGATGTTGGGCTCAAAAAGGGAACATACTAATGGTTCTATGAAATCCTAGGAAATGAATCAAATTAATTTTAATTTTTAATTCAAGGCATGGCCAGATATACTTTTTGTTTTGCTTTTACATGTTTTTGTTATAATAAAAAGTAGCATAATGCCCCTTTAGTAAACTGGAAGTGCCTATGAAAAGTATTTAAATAACAAATAAATGTAATACGCAAATTGCCTCAACACTTATTTGTCCCTTCACAATGCACTATTCTGTTGTTTTGCATTAGTAATAACAGTTATTTTACTGTTTTTTAAAGTTAAATCAGAAATCGTGATGTGACAATATGATAAACAAAATCTTGTTTTTTTGTTTCCAGTACTTTTAAACCTGACACTGTATTTGATTGTTATATACATGTCTTAGAAATAATTATTAGAGGAAAGTTGGTTATAACCATTTACACAATTTTAGAATAATTGTCCTGGCACATATCTCGGTAAACATCAAAAGCTGCCATTTCTTACCCATTTATTCATACATTTGGCATCAACAAAAGACAGTCTAGTAAATTCAGAAAATGCAATTTAGGGAAAGCAGAACTGACAGCAAAGTATATGAGAGAACTTATGACCCCAGTTTTGTAGTGGTAGACGGAAAGTACCATTTATCACAGTGAGAAGCTGACCTCCAGTGCAAAATCCCACCGATATGAAAACCAGCTGACCACCTGCTGTCCTGTCTGCCGTGTGAAACAAGCAGGTGCGCTCCGAAACGCTACATCTCATATTTATGTGACAGCATGACCTAAAGCAGCAAATGTAATCATCTGCTGATATGGTCAAGTTGTTGTAAGAAACTACCAAAACGAATAACTTTTGTTTTAAAAAGCAGACTATTATATACCGAAATATTTGTTGATCTGCTTTGTTTCATTACGCAATAATGAAACAAAGTCGTCTTGCTCCAAATGTAACGCTTTAAAAGTCACTGACGCTCATGAACAGAGGGTGGACATTACAGAGAGCATTACTTATAAATGTTGGCCTATTTATTTACAGATTATTTACAGATTGGATTCGGTTAGTATTGACTTTGTCTGGTTAGATGCTGTTTGTCTGGTTAATGACATTTATTCTACTTCATGTAATGTATTATTGGTGTATCACATTAATATTTGTATTTTCTTAAGCAAAGTAAGAAGTATACCAATAGGGCAATAGGTCCAAGTCTACTGGAGCATATACAGTATAAGTTTCAAAGAAGTGTGCTATCCTCGGAGCTATGTCTTTCACAGTCTGTTCCATGTCATTTTTGTTATCACGCAAGAGGCCTTTGTGCACAAGTCTGTGGAAGATTGCCCACACAGAGTAACAGTTTTATTCTTGTAAACTCAGCCTTGTCACCTTTGGTCAGCACTGTGCGTAATGGTCAGCGAAGGAAGCTCCTCCGGACAAAAAGAGGATATGATTCTTCTCAGGCCACATTATGGTCAATATAATGTAAAATATAGGGTTAGGGTGTAGCCTGATGTCCTTTCCCGTACCCAGATCCTACAGGTTTGATGATCTCTTCTGAGCTGCAATAGAATATTCTGGATTGTTTTTTGGGCTACGTGTGAAAATGACAATTAGGTCTGTTTTTGAAGAGGGGACAATGCCGTAACATGGTTAAGTTAAAATGTTACATTTTTAATTGTTGTCTCTTTTTTAATGTTGTCCCTATGGAAGGCAATGGTACACATTTTTGTTGTGACAGATATGAAACTCAGAACCATGACAAATCTGCCCACCCGTATACACCAAGGCTCTAACTGCTTGGGATTAGGGCCTATGTTTTGTTCTTTTTATAGTCACCCAGTTATTGTAAGAAAGTGTAGGTAACTTGCGATGTCCTTAATTTGATGTTTTAGCATTAAATACACCCATGAAGCGAGAGCGGATGTATTTTGCCTTTGCCTCCATAGCTTCTCCACAAAGCCGCTGCTCTGTCCCAGGACTGAGGGTTTGAGCTAATGGGATTACGTGGGTTTGAAGGCCTCATAAATGAAGTCCCCAGTGTGCAGAGGGGTGCCCCTGCTCTCCCATAACCCTCTTTAAAGCCGTGCCTTTCACAGTCAGTCTGCCAGACAAGCTAAGGCTGCTGTTTCTGCCGCCACAGTGCTCTGAGCTGATGAAACCGAGAAGGCATTTCCCTTTGTAGCAGCGCAACACTGAAAGCTATATTGATTTTGTTCTGAAAACGCCAACATATAAATCTCTCTGCGTGGATTTCATTCAGTTTTGCATTAAGCTCTGGAGATATGCTTCTCAAATCATTTAGAACATTTCAAGTTTGAATTTGTAGTAATAATGGTCTAATTATGTGTAATGCTAAAACGTTCTGTTGATGGCAGATGTAATGAACCAGATTCACCAGTCATTTTTCATGTGGTCATAATACATACACAACCAAAACAATTATGCCTGGAATAGGGGTTATAAGAGGAACACATAGTTTATCTCATCATTCATATGTCTTTTTTCTCAGAAACGTGAGTTCAGACGGAGCAGAGGCTCGCCGTCGCCTGAGGGAGTGTGCTGGTTTGGTGGACGCCCTTCTCCACGCGCTGCAGTCGGCTGTCGGAAAGAAAGACATGGACAATAAGGTAATATATAGAAAAGCGCTATATAAAACTGATGACATTCAGTAGTTTCAAGGATTTCAACTGTTTAAGAATTTAACCAGTTTCAAGGATATCAGGAGGTTCAAGGATTTCAGGAGTTTCCACACTTTCAACAGTTTCCAGGTTTAAAAAAAGTTTCAAGGATTTCAGGAGTTTCAATGTTTCAACAGTTTCAAGGATTTCAGGAGTTTAAAGGTTTCAACAATTTCAAGGACTTCAGGAGTTTCAAATATCTATCAAGTATTTTAACAGTTTCAAGGCCTTTTAAAGGATTTCAAGGATTTTTTTTAGCAGATTTCCACATTAGATCTGTTCCGCAGTCAATCGCAATGGCTTCAGCCATTGCAAGTTTCTAGTTATTATTATTATTATTATTATTATATTTGATAGAATTACAAAACAGCATGTGTCCATTCTGTGTGCAAGCTTATACTGTGTTCTCCACAAACCTGACTGCTTCATACTATGGAAACACTGCACTCTGAGCTATGGCATAACCCTTTGTTCACATTTGTTGGCCTGGTTCACTTTAACTGCACCAAGTCTGGTTCAAAAGATAAAGATGACTTGTTGTCACCCTTGGAACCTATGGGGAACCTATGCAGACAATGGGAGAACATGCAAACTCTATGCATAGGCTTTGTTCTTGATTCGAATTCAGGACCTTATTGCTGAGAAGGCAGAAGGCTGACCACTGTATACTGTAACTGTGCATTGACAATGGAGCAGACCAATAATTATGATTGCATTGTTGTGAAGTACAGTATGTTGTTGCAGATGGTTACAGTAATTTCTCATAAATAAGAGTGGAAAAATTCAAAGACATCTTCAGCAACCATGTTTGTGATTCTTTACATTTTCTAGTCCGTGGAGAACTGCGTGTGCATCATGAGAAACTTGTCGTACCACGTGCACAAAGAGATTCCAGGAGCCGAGAAATTCCTGGATCCCAACGGTCTGCAGGCTCCAGGCTCCGCTGGGCCCCAGAGGAAGAAGAAGGACGACGCAGGCTGCTTCGGAGGCAAGAAGGCCAAAGGTAGGAAGCAGAAAAAGGCCTTTAATAAAGTTTATTTTGGGATAAATTTGCTTTTAGAGGAACAAGTCACATCAAGTAGTTAACTTTTAATTGTCTGCTAATGTAATGTAGCATGTAAAAAAGAGGACATTACCTATCTTTCTGGAGACATCTGTGGACAGAAATCTTACAATGGAAAAAGAAACAATTAAAATAAATGAAGAGTGCAGAAGATTTTAATTAAACGAGTGGCACACAAAAAGCACAAAAGCAGGTGTTCATGAATATAAATATGTTTTAGTCTCAAAGGAGTTTCACAAGTGCTCATTTCCAGATTAAGTGTTTTTCTTTCTGTAATGAAATGAGAAATCCTCAAAAAATATGAAAATAGTTTGTAAACCAAAACTACTTTTTGTCTTTTCCCCAAATCAGTTACATTAGTGGTCAAGTTTCTCTTTATTTTGACTATAGTATATAGTATTTTATTTGAAACTTTAGCCTTTTCTATAGTGCATGCATCTTTTACAGTGTATTTTGTGTCTTACATGTATCTGTAGGCCTCTTGGCAGTCTGCTAGACAACATTGTTAACTCACTGTTAATCATTCAGTCAATGAGGTGTGACCATGCAAACCTTTCCACCTCTAAACAAAGACTCACCAGAGAATCACTGTGGCATGTTCAGTTCGGGACATCAGCGAAACGTACATGTGTTTACACAAGCAGAGAAACCCCAATTACCCCAATATGTACGTGCCCAGGCTTTCACTAATAAGACTGGTTACTGCTGTAAACCTTTAGACGTTTGTGTTGGGGGAGTAGGAGTAGTCACTTAAAACAGGCACTGTTAAAAATACAAATATTGTTATAATAAATATTGTATTTTGTATCTTTAAAGGACATTGTGGTGCAAATTAAAGGTTCTTGCATCTCAACTTGACCCGAACCCCTACCATTATTCCATTGTTAAATGCTTGTGTGTCTTCAAGTGGAAAACAAATAGGGTTTTACTATAATCATGAAGTTAAGATAAATACTGATATTTAAAAATCAGATACAATATTGATATTTAGCTATATCAATTGAAAGTCCCATTTATCTAAATACAAATCATATATCATATTGTGTGCTCTGAAAGATACAAATGTACCAAATGATTCAAGTTGATAGTACCATGTAAATCATAACACTCTCATTTTAGCACCTCTCTAGAACTTTCCAGTTGAAATATGCTCCAATTGTTTACTGAGCATGTTTTAACATTGTGTGTGTGCATTTCCCTGGTTAACTCATTAAATGGACAAATAAAATTTTTTTATGCTAATCTCCAAACTTCAGTATTTTACATCCCTCTTTATATTTTCTGTTCTGTTTCCAAAAACTCCTTTAATCTACGTTCTTTGAAACAGTCTAATGGGCTGCTATTGCCAGTCCTTTTTGTAGAAGCCTAATTATCCACCTAAATCTTATTCTTGTGTAATTCTCTTTAACTAAAACTTGTTGGCTTCTCGGTTCTATTCAGACAAAGCCGTTGTGAGCCGTCTCCTCTTGACTACTGCACTGCTTTGCCTTGAAACGTGTGCACACAGTTTTCATTTGAACTCTCTTCTCTCCTCACTTTGTGTTTTATGGCTTTGCTGCTGCCTCCTTGGCTAACTATAGAGGAATGGTTTAATCAAGGTGAGTGTGCTTTTTCAGACTATACCCCCTTCTCACCTCTTTCTCACCTCCTTCCACGGCTTTGCCCCTTGTTCCTGGCCGTCAAAAATAGTTAAAGGTAGTCTTGGCTATTTTCAACATAATCCAAGAAAAGAAAAAAGAAAAATGTTGCAGCTTTGCACCTCCTATATGTACATCTTTGCTGCACTGTCCCAGTTAATGGACGAAAAAAAGTTGTATTTAAAAAAATATGTAAATTGCCACATATGCCAACCCTGTACAGTCCCTCCAGAATTTTGCGATGCTGTGATCGCAACTATTAACGCTACTATTAACGGTTACATCATCCATGGCTCACCCACAGCTCGGGGTGCACACCCCATGCACACCGGGGTGACGTGCCTTTCTAACTCTCCTCCTCCCGCGTACGTGGTTCCAGATGACCAGTCAAACAGAGCGAATCTGTATCTTGCTTTATGTCAATAAAACATGTCTTCTTTGGTAAATGAACTTGTTTATTTTATTTGTACATTTATATTTGATCAAAAAATGTAAAAGTTCACAGTAATCGCCTGTCAAATCCTGGAGGGACTGACTATACACGCTTCAGATCTACAAATAATAGAATTACCTCTAATTTTGCAAGAACTTAATTCTCACTTTCTTTGTGTATACTAATTGTATACACAAAGAAAGTGAGAATTAAGTTCTAGATCTGGATTCAATATATTATTGGTACAGATCCAGGAATATTTGTTGGATCAGGGTTGGTTCTATATATTGAGTGTAATTGAGACTATTCACTGGCTGATATTAAACTTTTATATTTTTCAAATGTTTGTCTTGCTTCTTTCTTAATACTTATACTATTTTACCATAATGATAATAAACTAAATAATAACAAATCTAACTAATTTTGTAACAAGTATTCTGCATTGAGTGAAATATGCCAAGCCTTTCGCTTTCTAAAGTGACTTACAAAAATGTATGAATTTTGTTTAGATGGACCTGTACTTTATTATTTATTGATTTCTTTGAACAGGGACAATGCATATGTAAAAGTTCCATCTAGTTTTTGCTTCAAAGCTAGTTTTCAACTTTCGTCCCTGGGCAAGGTGTGAAGATACTATTAAAAGACATATACATTACTATAATAATGGTAAAAGTTAGTAAATAGAATATTAACAGCACATAAGACAATTTTACAAAGTGTAACACAAGAACAAAGTCGGGTGTACAGCGAAGGTTTCTCAGAATATGCACCCCGGTCAACATTGACAAAATAAATCATTGTTTCTTTGTTTTGTATTACATTTTACTGGCCAGATATATCACTTCCGTCTATGTGTGTAGTTGCCAGCCTGTCTGTCTCTCCCCTTCTTCCTCTGTCTCTTGGGCATGTTCTCGTGCATGTGACCAGACCATTATCTGGCTGCATCGTAGTGACTGGACCACCCCCATTTCACCCAATGTCCCAGATGACACTACATTAGTCAAAGTGCTTGTCTTCTCCTAAAACGCTACAATAAAGTGGTTGTACCATTGTGCAGTGTAGATTTGTTCTTTGTTTGTCCTATGTTTTGTATGAGAGTATATTTCCGTAAAAGTTTGTATTGTAAATGTCTGTAGCAAATGCATGCATCTCTTAGATTAGATTTTATTCTGCTGTCTATCAATGCCATAACTAGCCCAGTATCTTGCTTATATGTTCGCTACCTTAAAGGTAGGATTGTATCAACAGGTAAATTGTTTTTGTTTGCTTACTTTTGAGTGGCCGATTATACTTATAATTTAGATTTAGTACATCACATTTACATTACAAGGAGTACATTGCTAAAATACGGCACAAGTGTGGTTAGTAGTGATTTTAAAATGCATTTTGACCCTAACCTCCTTCCCCACTCTTTCCTCTTCACAGGCAGGAAAAATGGTGAAAACGACAAAAACTATGACACGTTGGATCTTCCCAAACGCACTGAACCATCTAGAGGTAGGCTGAGAGGCACCGAGTAACTTTTTAAATTGGGTGCAGGTCCAATTGTGGGCTACACCAGAAATGTTCCCACAGGCTGTGATGTTCACAAAAATGGCTCACACTGCGCGTAGCGATAGACGCCTGCATTCAGCTGCTCATACTGTACGAGACATGAACACATTGACTTCTATATGAGCTAACTGAGGAGCCCATGTGTTTTGGTTTACTCCTAAAACATAACATTAGCAAACCGTTAGTGAAACATAAAAGTTAACTCTATATAATGTCCGAGTAGGAATACTTTTCTGCGTGTGTCCATTGCAATGATTCAATCGGGGCCCGTAACAGTCTTTGCCATAGCCTCCAGTCCTGCCCCAGTCTGTTTACTGTCCTCTGTGACTGTATTTCATGGTGTAAATAACATAACTAGGAGCTATAATTAGATGGATTTTAGTTTCCCTACCTTTGATAGAAACCGGATTTTTATACCCATCACCGCAGCAGCCACTATGCCCAGCCTGTGTGCCCAACCTAAGCCCTAATCCAGTGTGTGCGCATGTGTGGTGTCAGCCTGGTTTGGTATTTACTCTTCAGCTCCTCCATCAGGCTCTAGTGGCAGGTGCTCACAGTCAATAGCACTTCCTGTCTGACTGCTAATTAGCCACATTAGCAGGGCAAAGTGGGTCCTCATTAGGCCACATCTCACACTTAGTTGCAGAGCTTTGCCCAAGTTAAGCGGATTTTGTACTTTTTATCTCTTCTCCAAAGTCCAGCAAATTACATGAGCTTGATAGATCATCAATGCTTTCCACAAGTTATTCACAGATTAGGTCTGACTTAATGGTTATGTACAATTGTATCTACTAGTACTTGAACCACACTGTTTTTTCAATACCTGTTCCCATACTGTATTTTTTTTAGTTCCGTTTCTTTAAGAGAGAAAATTACATATTTATAATGTTAATATATTCCATTGAAGAGTGTACTTTCATAATTCATAACTGCACAGTAACTTTCTACAGTGCTCTCCAGGCACAAACCAGACTTAGAAAATATCTTATCAACTAAAAGTTATCATATTTTTTTTAACTCATTCCATATCCAATTCTTTGACCTAACTTTACCTTCACCAACATAATGTACCTTTTCGTTCTCTCGCTCAATTTCTGAAAACTCTGTCAGGGGGTTATGTTTTCATATGGGTTTTCTAGTTTGTTTGTTAGAAAAGTTATGGATGGATGAGCATTATCAGTAAACATGTTATTATTTTTGTGGAGATCGAAAACTGTACCTCAGACCACTTGGCCCTGACCTGCGGAGTGCCACAGGGGTCAATCCTGGGTCCTCTTCTGTTTAATATTTACATGTTGCCTCTAGGTCAGTTGATTCACAGTAATAATGTCTCTTATCACAATTACGCTGACGATACTCAGGGTCTATGTGTCCCTGACAGCAGGAGAGCATGAACCAGTGGACTCGCTCCTTCACTGTGTCCAGCAAATCGGTGATTGGATGCAAAATAACTTTCTCCAACTAAACACCGACAAAACTGAAATAATTGTTTTCGGACCCCAGAAACAGAGAGAGAGCGTTATTTGTCACCTCCAGGCTCTCTCTCTACAACCCTCAAATCAGGTCAGAAATCTAGGAGTTATAATGGACTCAGACTTAAATTTCAAAAGCCACATAAAATCTGTAACATCAGCAGCTTATTACCACCTAAAAAACATTGCTAAAATTAAAAACATAGTGTCTAAGGCAGACTTGGAGACTCTTATACACGCTTTTGTCTCCAGTCGGTTAGACTATTGCAATGGCTTGTTCACAGGTCTCTCCAAACAGGCTGTAAAACAGCTGCAGTACATTCAACATGCAGCAGCTCGAGTCCTGACTAGAACTAGGAAGTACGACCACATTAGTCCAGTTCTCAGGTCTCTGCACTGGCTTCCTGTTCCTCAGAGAATAGACTTCAAAGCAGTTTTACTTGTGTACAAGTCTCTCCATGGTCTCGCGCCAAGGTACATCCACGACATGTTTGTGCCATATGAACCGACCCGGACTCTGAGGAGCACAGGGACTGGACTCCTGTTAGTGCCCAGAGTCGGTACTAGACATGGGCAAACTGCATTTCAGATTCATGCGGCTAGAGTCTGGAACGGTCTTCCTGAGAATGTGAGACAGGCGTCTACTCTGGCATCTTTTAAATCTAGGCTCAAAACAATTCTGTTTAGCTGCGCATATACAACTGAAGGATTTTATCTTTTCATCTTTGTTGACTATTTATGATTTTAGTCCCATCTGTGATTTTAATGTTTAAAGGTTTTTAATTTTTGTGATTTTATTTTTAATGTTTTTAATATATCTTGTGCTCTTAATGTGTTTGATTTATGCATGATGTGATAGGGGATGTGAAGCGCTTTGCGTTGCCTTGTGTAGGAAAGGCGCTCTACAAATAAACGTTGATTGATTGATTGATTATTCTCACGGTTGTAATATTTTTCTACTATTGATTTATATCCATGGTTTTCAGTATGAGTACTGTTGCTATGTGATTCATGATTTACACATATTAAGTAATTAGCACAAGCATATTACACAATGCTTGTTTCACATGGTGCTGGAAATAGGTGGTCATAATGTTTTGCCTGATCCGTGTCCCCAGAGAGTATTAAGTAGTAGCTGTAGAATATTGTGGTAACGCCATCCATTGGAAGTTTGAATCGCGAGGAGGCAATTATCATTAGGCATAAATGTCAAGTTGAAAAGTTTCCTAGTTCACCCCAGCTTTCCCTCGTGCAGACAGACCAATCATGTTTGACATTTATTAGCTTGGCAAACAAGTGGACAGCCGTAATAGGAGCTGAGATAATAGCTCTCATCACAATAGCAAAACCCCCAAGTGCTTTTGGAACCGTATTGATCATTTCTTTCATTTGCGAACTTTAAAGTTAATCTATTCCAGTCACTACAATAGTATTTGATTGTTGTGTAATTGTTCAAATAACTATAGAGGACAAAGCAGCAATGACGACTTAATTAACCGTACTGCTTCTTATTTATACTTTGAGATGTTCACCCCTTCTGTTCGGGGATCTGCAACTAGCTTTTCAGTTACCTCTCTATTTATTCATTTACAGATGTTTTAAAAGGGAGAAAAAACGTGTCTGATATGTCCTATAACTTGAAATTATGAATATTACACTGGGCTAAACAATACTATAACGCAAGCTGAGAGCCTATTTTTGGGTAGAAAAAATAAAACGTCCATGAAAAGTTACTGTAGATACTAAAAGAAAAGTTATTATGTACTATTTTTTCAGCAGACATCCTTACAGATGTTATCTAAATATCAATAATTGGCATCCATCAATTTCAAGCTCATTTTGGTCTGAAAGAGAGAAAGTGTGACCATTGGATAGAATTTTTTGGTAGATTTTTCTAAACAAAATGAACAGAGTTACTGTTGTTTGGATTGAATCAACTAAAAGGTAATGAAGGCTTGTAATTGTATGGATAGGTAAATAGGTAAAGAGAGAAGGTCCTGGGTTCAAATCCCGGTCGGACCAGGGCCTTTCTGAGTGGAGTTTGCATGTTCTCCCCGTGTCTGCGTAGGTTTCCTCCGGGTACTCCGGTTTCCCCTACCACTAAAAATATGTCCAATAGTTCTGGCATGCGCCTCCTGTACTGGCGACCCCACTCCCATCTCTGTGTGGAGTGAGAGACAAATGCCCAAAAATTAACAATTGTAAACCGCTTTGAGACTCAGATCTGCAGTGAAAAGGCGGTATATAAATAAAGATTACTAAATAAATAAAGATTACTACTAAATTATTTTAAGTTATACTGTAGCTTGTGTGGTGCATTTCCACAAACAAAAGCGAGTTCAAAACCTCCCATCAAAACTGCGATAACTTAATGTTTTTCTCCATTATTTTGCGAATAACATTCTAAATATAACAATTATATGATTTGCTGTCTATATCCTCCACCCCTAATACAAGCCAGCATATATTTGTACCAATACTAAACTTGGATTAAATGGGGAAAGACATGTGAGGAAAAACTTCTTTGTACTTGTCACTGCATGCTGGGAGGCAGATGATTTTTGTGAAAGAGAAAAGCCAGACTGAAGGAAAAAGAAGATTGCCTGTGTGTATAGTAAAAGTCAATAGGATGGATTTCAGCCTTAAAAAAGATGTGATTGTGTGGGGGGCACTGGTCATCTTCTTTGGAGGGCAGAGCTGGAGCTGTGGCGATGGCCCAGGGAGATATTGGAGATTACATGTGTATCCAGGAGCAGATCTGATGACAGAGGGAGAGGGTCAACAAAGCCTGCGTCCCCCACAAGTGATTAATCTGTGTGTTTGGGTTTAGGTGTGGGCCCAGGCAAGCAGCACAAGTATACTGAGGAAATACTCCGGTCTTATGGGGAATTGCTACTACACAATACAAAAGTACAATAGTTAGTCTCAATAAAGTTGTCTAGCATTGACTTTACACTAAAAACTATCATAAATGTATGTTTAAATTGGCATGGAATTGTCTTAAATGAATGTGTTGAATTATAATTGTTGTTTTTAAATAATTGTGGAGTCTTCCGTTAATGAAATTAATTGCCTTTGATTTTGAATTCCAATTGTGAAATGTGAAATATATTTATCACTTGTTATTGTGGTAAAATGTTACACATTTGTATTACAATATTACACATTTTCAAAATGTAACACTACTACTACTATTGGTGCAGAACACAAATTATATCAAACTGATTTAGTTTTGTTTTAAATACTGTTGAATTAATTAACAACAAAACTTGCCTAACTTACTTCAGGCAAGACAAAGCAAGTTTATTTATATAGCACAGTTCCCACACAAGGCTAAAAGAAGAAAGGAAAGATTATAATCATACAAAGATTATATTCATAAAGAATCACATTAAATACAAAAAATAGTGAAGACGCAATCCTTCAATAGATATGATGTTTATTTTTTCTATTTTGGAAAACAGAAATCAG